ATCACCTTTGAGAACATGATCTCTAATGAAATGATGCCTAATGTCAATATGTTTCGTCCTTGAGTGAAGAACCGGATTCTTCGTCAAGCTTATGGCACTAGTATTATCACATCGAAGAGGGACGTGATCGATACTAAGGCCATAATCCACAAGTTGTTGCTTCATCCAAAGGATTTGAGCACAACAACTACCGGCGGCAACATATTCCGCTTCGGTTGTGGATAACGCAACACTGACTTGCTTCTTGCTAAACCATGATACTAAAGAACTACCAAGCAAGTGACAAGTCCCACTCGTACTCTTACGGTCTAATATACAACCGGAAAGTCCGAGTCGGAAGAGCCAAAAAGATGACAAGGAGACCCCTTGGGGTACCATAGTCCAACGTTCATTGTACCAACAAGATACTTCATTATCCGTTTCACCGCCGTTAAATGCGATTCTTTCGGACAAGATTGATATCTTGCACATAAACACACGCTAAACATGATATCGGGTCTACTAGCGGTAAGATAAAGAAGGGATCCGATCATACCTCGATACTTCTTTATGTCTACTTCCTTAGCCTTTTCATCTTTTTCCAAATGCTCGGAGGTGCTCATTGGGGTAGCCATTGCTTTGGAGCCATCCATTTCAAATCTCTTTAAGAGCTCCTTGCAATACTTTGATTGACAAATGAAGGCCCCTTCCCTCATTTGTTTGACTTGTAACCCCAAGAAGAAATTGAGTTCCCCCATCATGGACATCTCAAATTCATTTGTCATTAAGTTTGAAAATTCCTTGCACAAAGATTCGTTAGTAGCACCGAATATAATGTCATCTACGTAAACTTGCACCAAGAGGATGTTATCGTTTTTACTCTTGATAGTAAGTGTAGTGTCAACCTTCCCCCTTTTGAACCCGTTGTCCAAAAGAAATTTGCTCAAACGTTCATACCAAGCACGAGGTGCATGTTTAAGACCGTAGAGTGCTTTCTTTAGTTTATAGACATACTCCGGGTGCTCAAAATCCTCAAAGCCTGGGGGTTGATCAACATACACTTCCTCTTGAATAAAACCATTGAGGAAGGCACTCTTAACATCCATTTGGTATAGTTTAAAATCCATAGACGAAGCAAAAGCGAGTAATAAACGGATAGCTTCTAAACGTGCTACTGGTGCATAAGTTTCTTCAAAATCAATGCCTTCTTATTGATTGTAGCCTTTAGCTACGAGCCTAGCTTTGTTTCTAGTGATTATTCCATTTTCATCGAGTTTGTTACGGAACACCCATTTCGTACCAATTATGGTATGATCATCGGGTCTTGGCACCAATTCCCAAACGTCATTTCGTTTGAATTGGTTAAGGTCCTCTTGCATTGCCAAGGTCCAATGTTCATCATCAATTGCTTCCGAAATGGTTGTAGGTTCAATTTGAGAAACAAAAGCCATGTGGCCTACGGTGTCCATAAGAGAGCTACGAGTACTTACCTTTCGGTTGATGTCACCGATCACCTTGTCAAGAGGATGGTTCTTTGAAGTCCTCCATGCCCTTGGCATTGGCGTTTCCTCCTCTTGTGGTTGTTCCTCGTTTACGGGTGGCTCTACTTCTTCATCTTGGCTTTCTTTTGAGTTGTCTACTTTGTCATCGTCGTAGATGTTTTCCAACGAATCTATAAGATCATCACAAGAAACCTTTCTCGCCAAGCGAGCATCATTTTCGGCGAACACAACATGAGGAGATTCCTCAACGGTTAAGGTGCGTTTGTTGAAGACTCTATAAGCCTTACTACGCAATGAATAACCAAGAAAAATACCTTCATCCGACTTTGCATCAAATTTACCCAAATTATCTTTTCCGTTATTGTGAACAAAACATTTGCAACCAAAGACTCGAAGATGGGAGAGGTTTGGCTTTCTTCCTTTGTATAATTCGTATGGGGTTTTCATGAGTATCGGTCTAATGACGGCTCGGTTTAACACGTAGCTCGCGGTACTCACGGCATCTGCCCAAAAATACTTAGGAATTTTTGCCTCATCAAGCATAGTTCTAGCCATCTCCTCCAGGCAGCGATTTTTACGTTCCACCACGCCATTTTGTTGTGGTGTATGTGGAGCGGAGAAGTTATGCTCGATGCCTAGTTCGTCACAAAACTCGGTAAAGAGATCTCGTTCGAACTCTCCACCATGATCGCTTCGTATGGCTACGGTGGTTAAGCCTTTTTCATTTTGAACCTTTTTGAAAAAAGTTTTGAAAAAATGAAATGCCTCACTTTTATGAGTTAGAAATAGTGTCCATGTGAATCGAGAGTAGTCATCAACAATCACAAAGGCGAAATAGTTTCCCCCAAAACTTTTTGTTCTTGATGGTCCAAAGAGATCCATGTGCAAAAATTGTAGGGGCCTTGTTGTAGACACAACATTCTTTGATTTAAATGAGGCCCTTACTTGCTTGCCCTTTTGACATGAATCACAAATGGTGTCCTTCTCAAACTTGAGTTTTGGAAGGCCAACTACTAGGTCTTGTGAAACCAATTTATTCAGAAGATACATGTTGACATGAGCTACTCTACGATGCCATAGCCACATATCGTCCTCCTTACTCATGAGACATTTTGCAAAGTTGGAGGGAGATTCATCTAAGTTAACCATGTAAATGTTATTAATTCTATCACCACGAAGAATCGTCTTATTGTCACTAAGACGTTCTATCGTACATGATTTGGAATCGAAGGTCACACGATTTCCCTTGTCACACAATTGACTTATGCTCAAGAGATTGTGTTTAAGACCCTTAACCAACAAAACATTATCAATAGAGGAGTTTTCGTTTTTACCAACTGAGCCAATGCCGATTATCTTGCCTTTGCTATTATCGCCAAAGACAACGTTTCCTCCTTTAGTTGGTTTGATTTGCAAAAACTTGGATGCATCTCCGGTCATGTGCTTGGAGCATCCGCTATCAAGGTACCAAAGTACACTTGATGCCTTCAAGCACACCTACAAACCAATTTAAAAAGTTTTAGGTACCCAATTCCTTTTGGGTCCTTGGGCGTTAGGTGCACGTTGGTAGTGTGATTGGTTTTGAGTGCAATGCCTATGCCTAGTGAAACAAACCGGGGCTATATGTCCTAACCTATTGCAATAATGGCAAATAACATTTGGATTATGCATTCTCCTAGGTTGATAATAGTTACTAGGTTTTCTATATTGCTTGACCCTAGTTTGAGAAAAGTTTTGTTTATGCATATTTGGAAAATGGTTTCTAGATTCTCTAACTTGATCATTGTTTATCCTAGTGTTCTTTCTAGGTGGTCTAGTGTTCCTGGTTGATGTAGATTGTCTATTATTGTTCATTTTAGTTTTCCTAGGTTGAGCATTAGGTTGTTTAGGTGGTTGCTCAACTTTTTCCTT